TAGATTCATTGGTGGTGGTGAAAAACATTCACTGTACCACGTTAACACATGTCAAATTTGGTATTTGAATATAGATTCATTGGTGGTGGTGAAAAACATTCACTGTACCACGTTAACACAAGTCAAATTTGGTATTTGATGTAGATTCATTGGTGGTGGTGAAAAACATTCACTGTACCGCGTTAACACATGTCAAATTTGGTATTTGATATAGATTTATTGGTGGGGGTGAAAAACATTCACTGTACCACGTTAACACATGTCAAATTTGGTATTTAATGTGGATTCATGCTAGACAATACTTTCGATTTTTAGCTTTCACTTTTGAATCTTCGAATTGGCTTACATTTTCTATATAACAATTAGGTTTGTTTCTTTGAAGTTAAGCACAAAGCAACACAATGGGCTATCTGTTCTCTGACCACCACGGGTATCGAAACCCGGTTTCTAGCGTTGTAAGTCCGCAGACATACCGCTGTGCCACTGTCATCGCAATCCTTACATCACATACACTATAATAAATTCACAGTTATGTTGTCGCATTCCTAACACCACGTATATTGTAGTATATTCACAGTTATGTCGTCGCATTCCTCACATCACATACATTGTAATAAATTTATAGTTATGTTGTCGCATTCCTCACACCACGTATACAGTAGTATATCCACAGTTATGTTGTCGCATTCCTCACATCACATACATTGTAATAAATTTATAGTTATGTTGTCGCATTCCTCACACCACGTATACTGTAGTATATTCACAGTTATGTTGATATTTGATATTATTGCATCACTGCTTACTACATATTCTTAATATCGAATTAATGTAAACTAAAAAATCAGTGTTTCTAATTATTATACTTATTTTTCAATACTCTTGTTTTGTAAAAGCCACTTCTCGAGATATCTCGATTAGGAATATATATTTTCTTGCAGAAAAAATAGACAAGTTACATAAACTTTCTGTATCGTTTTGTTTAATGTTTTTGCTATTAATTATACACTAACTTAAGAGTTACATCAATCATTCTTTATTTTCTCTGCTCTTTTACATCAAAATTAAAAATAAAACAGTGTTTGTTTTTTAACTACTACATTAGCTTATACTTCGTCTTGTATGCACGACTTGGTTTTCTCATGAATATCTAATTTATTCTGTTCGAAGCGCTGCAGTATTATCGTTTTGTATTTCTGCCTCTTGGTAGTAAGGCGAAGGGAAACTATCCATTAGGAGCAATGGATGTTGAACTCGCTTTTGTGATCCACTTCGTAGTAGCAGAGTGGATCACATCGTAGTCCAATCAGAAGAAGCATGATAGTTTAATCCCTGATCATGAGCAAAGAGAAGATGTGTTATATAACTGACTTTTTCCAACCTTCCCACCCAGGAACATGAGGTGTGAATGGTTCATTGCTGTTCACTTAGCTTCCCTACCCATAACACGTACATAATACTTTGAGTACAAAACGGCGGTTGGAACATTGGTGAAGGCATATAACCCCACCTTGTCACGCTTATAATGTGTGTGAAACCTAACACAGAAAACAAAACAAGTGCACAGATGCTCCAGATAAAAAGCACGGATTCGTTGGCGGTAATGTAGATGTTTCCATTAATATCCTGTTAACCGGTAAATCTCTTAAAAGTTACAACTTCACTTTTTCTCTCAATATTATTTGATAGGTAATATGCTCTACATAATATAAAATCTCAGAGTTGTTTTAGTTCTTTTCCCTTATATTATAGTATTCGGTTATGGTATGGTCTCAACAGATATGAGAAGTTCAAGAATAACCAACACATGGAAGAAGCTCATGAGCTGAACAGTGTATTTTTCACATAGATGTCGAAGATGCATTTCTATTTATAAGTTAGTATGTGACTTTTTAATTATGTTTCAACTTATTTATCATTCCAACATAAGAATTCTAGCTCGTTTGATATTGCTCTAAAACTTATTGTTTCAGTTTTAGTGTTTTTGGAATTTTTAGTGCGAAAAATGCACTGTTTAATTGTAAATCCAGAACAACAACAACAAAAAACACCTGTCCCTATTCATCATATTACGTACGATACACAATATATCAGATCATGAAAGTTTTGGTTGACACATGGCTGGGCCGAGCGCGGCCGTGTGTTAACGTGCTTGAACTTTGAATCCGGGTCACATTCCGTTGCCATTAAAAACACGCTTCGCACTTTGGAGCCATGGGTGCATTGTAAGAGCAACAGTCAAATCTCACTATTCGATTAGAGAAAAAAAAAAGGACAAACCAAGAGTGGGTAAATTTGTATTAAATATTTTCTTTGAGCCAAAAATCTGATACATAGAAACATACAGTTAAAGCTACACACGGAATATCTGCACATAGCTGTCCCTAATTTTGTACTGACAGACTAGAGAGAAGGAAGCCAGTCAACAGCACCCACCTCCGGCTCTTGGGCTACTCTAATCGAATAGTGGGATACAGTCACGCTTATAACGCACCTACGGCACCAAAGTTCGGAGCACGATATTACGCTGCCACAAAAGCTTTGAACGGAATAACATCATTGGCTTACTTTTATAACAAACAGAAGCAGAAAGTCAGATGATGGCATCGCGAACCGTGGACTTTCTGATAATCATCCCACCACTCCCGCCACATTTGAAAATAAATCTGTAAAGGTTATATATAATATGGTTCCAAAAGTTTGTGAATGGTGTGCTCTTTACACAACTAACGTTCCGCATTCCTCTCATCACACACGTTCAGTATTTGGAAATATACTGATGACAAGCTAAATGCCACTCCAAAATACGAAACCAAATACATGCATATCTTCGTCTAACGAACATATAAAACATATTTTTATTAGACAATTTTAAAGATGTGTCTCATTTTCGAATTTGCTCAACTAAAGGAATGGAAGAAAAGATTAATTGTTTTCTTTAATTCAACCTCCATCATCAACACCAAATGATTGATTATAATACGATTAAGGATACTAATGCCTATAACCCATACAACTTGACAAACATACTAGGATACTAATGCCTACAACCCATACAACTTGACAAACAAATAATGTTAAATTAGTAAAGTCAACATTAATTGAATTTTGTTTGTTTATAGTTGAAGCACAAAGTTACACAATGGGTTACAAATATTAATATCTAAAGAGTATGTGTATGAAGAGTTCTCGACATTCAATGACAAAAAAGGTGTAAACTTTATTCGTACAATTATACACGGACTGTTCTGTACGCTAAAATACTTTTATTTACGAGATTTCGGTCCTCTGACGTCTTCATCGGGCAATAATGTATAGTGTTGCTCGATGAAGCCTCCAGCAAGAGGGCCAAAAGCTCGCAAATAAAAGTATTTTAACGTACAGAACAATCCATGTATAATTGTACATATTAATTTACCTACGTTATAAGTCTAAAAAAAACAAAAAACAAAGCGTAATATTTGCTACACAAGCATAAACGAAACACCGAACTGTTTGAAAAGTAGCTTTCGGGGGAGCATTTTGGATTTACAATCAACGAAACGTTGTTATATTCTATCAAAACAGGGTATGTTTGAACATTGGCTCGAAAATAAATATGTAATAAATTTTTGCTTACATATAAGCGAAAGGTTTCAGGTTTCGAGCCCAATCAGTTTTAATGAGGGGGCAGATCTTTCCGTTTTGACCCAGACATAATACAAAGCAACAAACCAAGCGAGTCTTGTCTAACAGGTATGCCTTCTTACGTGTCTATAGCAATGTAGATCAATCTTAGCGCCCGGTGGTTATATGGTGCGAGTCTTGTGATTAAGGCGTAATAAATTAACATTAAACGATCCAAATCAACACATATTTCCTAGTGACCTTCTAAACCTGATGACCTCCGCAATCTTTCCTGCCATCTAGACAATGGCCCCGACCCCTCCCAGTCATGAACACGAGGTGAGGGTGGTGGCATTGCCGCCAATTTGCAACATAGAGAGGTGAAGGTGTGGTTCGGGCACTTTCTCTTAGTAACACGTCTTTGTTAAACTTAATTTTGACAATTCGCCTACCAAAGTTCTAGATGGGGGTTCTGCACGATCTGGAGCGGGTTCGGCACACCCCCCATCTTTGTTTTCGTATATTTGTTGCTGTGGACTGTGATCGTGACTGTCCTATATTTTGATTTGATCACAGCATACTGTCGCCATCGCACGTTTTTCGTGGATTCCAAATGACAGCTAGTCTGTTATTTACCCAGTGTTAGTTTTGATCGACTTTTTATGATAATGAATTAAATTGGAGCTGTGCTAGCTATTCAAACCCACATCTGAATACATTTACTTAGGAAATCACTCCCTCCACGTATAAATTCATCAAAGCACTAATATTCCGAAAGAAAATCCGTGCAATTATTTTAAACAATCAAAATTGTTTTGTTTAGCATCTGGCTGTGGCACGACTTTTTTGTTATACTTTCTCACACAAACGCTGCTTAACATATAACAACAGCTAATTACATACAACATATCAAAACTAGGTATTTAATAGTATTATTAAAATCTAGTATTATTAAAAACGACGATAAATAACATACAAGTCAGGGTTATCTTCATCGTTGATGTACTCCTCTAGTTGGCTGAAGTCCAAAGCTTCATTGTCGATCCCATCAAGATCACCTCGGCCTACAAAAACAAACAAACATATTTATTGTCGATCCCATTAAGATCACCTCGGCCTACAAAAACAAACAAACATATTTATTGTCGATCCCATCAAGATCACCTCGGCCTACAAAAAAAAATCTGCCACATTGTTTGTTTGTTATGAATTTCGCGCAAAGCTACACGAGGGCTATCAGCGCTAGCCGTCCCTAATTTTGCAGTGTAAGACTAGAGGGAAGGCAGCTAGTCATCACCACCTACCGCCAACTCTTAGGATACTCTTTTACCAACGAATAGTGGATTGACCGTCACATTATAATGCCCCCACGGCTGAAAGGTCGAGCATGTTTGGTGTGACGGGGATTCGAACCTGCGACCCGCAGATTACGAGTCGACAATCCGAACTACCTGGCCATAGAAGAGGTTGAATGACAACGCATTTTCAAATATTTAGCATTAATGAATCATACACTGGTCAGCTTCTTAAAGTGCCTGTTGTATTAATATACCGTCTTTAAAATCAAACAATTATACATTTGTTATTTTAAACCAGCTATTGCGAAGAACAACATGATCTCAAATTAATTAAATTCAAGTTTTTGTTTCTCTTTCTTTGTTTTATAACATTTATGCATAAGGTTAGTTTCATCAAATCCGTTGTAATGCAGTAGAAGAGAGACTGTATCCCTGCTTTTCACTCCTATGAGGAGAAATATTTTAGCGATATAAAAATGAAAAAGGAAACTACTCACTGAAACTTATTTATAAAATTAAATTAGCGTGTACAAGGAGAACAGTACAAAAACAAAAACACGCACGCACAACCTGTTAATTATCATTCCAATAAATAAAACTGTTTTACAGTATTTATACGCCATACTAATCCAACATTTATAACAAATTTATCTAAAACTTTATAGGATAAAATATTCTTATACTTCTGTATGTAAAAAAACGTGTGAAATTTAAGATGTTTTTTTTTGCACTGTAATATCTCCCTTATATTTTGATTACATTAACACAATATCTGTATTTCACGCTCCAGTTCTCTATTGTCTAAAGACTCGATATAATACGAATAGCCATCAATGTTATTATTTTAATCAAAAGTGCAACGCAAAAAAGTTTAAAATTTTCCTTCGCTTGCAAGTAAAGAACGAAGTAGACTAAATACTGTTGTTTATTATATCTTTTGTACTCCATTCGAGCTCGGTTGTTTAGGCAACCGTATCTAAATACTCTAATTTGTACACAATGTTTAAACAGTTCAGTACACACAAATATATATATATATATATATACAGGGTGGGCCTAAAGTAGGGTTACAGTTACTCTATTATTT